CCCACTTTCTTTCACACATGGACTGTCCCAAGGACTGAGTCAGCCAGGCCACAGCCTGCCTCGATAGACACTCTAACATGGATATTCTGCTGGCAGCAGGTTGAAACTAGAAATCATCAGCAGAAGGGAAATGGGGAAAGCCCACAAGGATTTCAGAATGAAACAATGCAGTGTTAAACAACGGGTCAAAAGGGAAATCCAAGGAAATTTGCAAACCTCTCTTTTCAAAAGAAACAAAAACATGCTGTACCCAAACCTACCGGATACAGGAAGAGCAATCCTGAGAGGAGGCTTAAGGGGCATTTAAAAGGAGAAATGCCGAGAGAGGAGAGCAAGGTAGGAAAGGGAGGGAGGAGAGGGGAGGAGAGAAGAGAAACAGGAGAGGGAAAGGACAAGAATCGCTCATTACAAGGAGCCAGAGAACAAATTATGTTCAAAACAGGGGAGTGGAGAAATGGAAACGACATTAAATTCATCAAAGTAGGAGCTGTTTTTTGAACAGATCAACACAATTGATAAACACTCACTCACATTGACTGAAGAAATCAAAGAGTTAAAATCAGAGGACTATAAGGATGGCTCAGTGGTAAGGGGACTTGAGTTCCGTCCCTAGGACTCCGAGGACAGAGGGAGAGAACTGACCCCTCAAAGTCGCCCTTTCACCTCATTACTGTGACATCAGTATGGATGCCTGTGCATATGTGTGTGTGTGTATATGCAAATTAACTGGAATAAGGCCTGCATCAGGACCAAAGTGCTGATTTTCGGCAGCCGCCAGGACTGTGAAAATAAAAGTGCATTTTCTGTGCTCTACCTACTATAAGGCATTTTACTATCACAGACTGAACAGATGTAGGCAACATGAAAAAGTTCTACCCTGAAAATTATAAACCAGTGTCAGAAAATAAAAACGTAAGTAAATGCAAGGTGTTTTCCTGGGTTAGAAGACTTGCTGTCATCGCTATGATGCCTGTGTCATGTCCAGTAATCTGCTTATTCATTGCAGGTGCTATTGCATCTCTGGGAAACTTCTTTGCAGGAGAGAAAACTGTATTCTAAAATGTACATCTTTTTAAAATTTCCTCCGTACCGGAGATGGAACTTAGGGCTTCACACATGCTAGGCAAATGCTCCCGGGCTCATCTGTATCCCCAGCCTTCTGCTTACTCTTTATTCTGAGATGGCCTCCATTAGTTGCCACGGCTCGGCCTGTCCTCACTGTGCAGCCCCGGCTGACTTCAAGCTCCTCCTGCCCCAGCCTCCTGAGCAGGCCTTTGTCGCTGTGCCTCAATCTAAGATTCACCTTGAATCTCAGAGGGTCTTGAATAAACAAAACAAGAAGAAGAAGAGGAAGAGGAAGAAAAGGAAGAAGAAGAGGAAGAAGAAGAAAGGACAAGTCAGTGTTCTCTATAAAATAAGAGCAGACAGGGTAACTAATGCACACACATCATAGCATGGAGACAGATAAGAACAATGGAGTAGGAAAGGAAATCTAGAGAACCAGAAACACATGCAAATGTTCATATCAACAAATGATTCTTGACAAATGTGCCAGGACCATACTGTGGGGGAAGGGCAATCCCTTCAACAAATGGTTTTGGGAAAATTAGATGGCCATATGGAAGAAATGAAGTTGGGTTAACCTTTCATCACACACAGAGAGTAACTCAAGGCTAGTGAGATGGCTCCATGGGTAGGAATGCTTGCCTGCCCAGCCTGATGACCTGAGTTCAATCCCCATGATCCATGTGATGGAAGATGAGAACTGAATCCCAAAAGCTGACCTCTGACCTCCCCAACACACTGTGATATGCGTGTTTCACCGCTCTCCCCTCCCCACACACATAGAAATAAATGTTAAAAAAGAAAAATCCATAAAGACTTAAAGGCAAATCTCCCCCAATCGACAAAACTCCTGGAAGAAAACATTGAGGAAGGTTTTCATGATGTTGGATTTGGCCAGGACTTTTCTTGGACTATGAAAACTCAAACCACAGGCAGCAAAAGAAACAACAAAACAAAACAAAACAAAAAAACCAGGCACAGCTGCACCAGACTTTAAATATGGAAATGCTAAGGATGCTAGAGTGGAAGGCAGCCTTGGAAAGGCAAACATTGTAAATCATGTGTGGGATCAATAATAGACAAAAGACACCAGGAAGAGCCTGAAGGGGAACCAAAATGACCAGAACCAGCCTTAGACTTCCCAGCCTCTGTGAGGAGCACACTTCTGTTGTCAACCCACTCAAACTATGATATTTTTGTTCTTATAGTCTGAACTAAGACACCATGTAGAGGAATTTTAACCCAGCAACATGGCTCCTCTGTCGAGGGATCACATTCAAAGACCTAGGTCTGTGTGATCCAGCTGGAGTACAGACATGCCCTTAGTATAAACCTTTAACCCTCTGGCTGGAATACAGACATGACACACCTTTAATTGCAAACAATGATGTCTAATTGAGGTGCCAACAAAGTGATGAATCAGAGAATGATTGACAGGATGAGTCAGAGACAGGATATGCCCAACCCCCACGAGAGCAGACAGGAAAGAGAAGCTACTTAAGAGAGAAAGCAGAGAGTTCCAGGAGACAGCAGAGTTTGGGAATATAGTTCAGTTGGGTGCAGTTCAGCTGAGTGCAGTGGAGATCCATTTAGCTCATGCAGTTCTGTTTAGTACATGCGGTCAGTGCAGTTCAGTTCATGGAGTTCAGAGGCCATTTCTCTGAGCAGAGTAACTCAGTGAGAAGCTGAGAGAAGCCAGTTTGAATCAGTCAGCTTGGAGGGGCATTTTCAGCCAGAACAGCTGAGTTGAACCAGCCAGCCAGAGTTCAGAAAGAACTAGAATGGGTGATCTTATTCAGCAGTTAGCCTCTGAAGCTGGAAACATTCTAGGCCTAGGTTAGCAGGTGGATGCTAGAAGCTGAAGCCTTCAGAGTCTGGGCTTGCAGAAAATTAGATTGTACAGAGGCTAGATGCTTCCAGGATTAGGCCTAGGGATAGACAGGAAGGCTCTGGGCTCAGCGCAAGCCATGTATGTGTAAAGCTTGGGTATGGCTCTCATCTCATGCCCTCATTGGAGGAAATAAAAGCAACATTTATGACACCATTTCTGAGTACACATAAAAATAACTAACAACAAGACATTGGAGCAACATTGGCTGTCAGTCTGGAGCCTGGGGTCCAACTCTTCCCTTTGGGGCATCCAGGCACCAATGTGTACAAGCGCTGGGCTCAAAGGGATGACGCTTAGCCCAGCGGGTAGGTCTATGGGATCCCAGTCCAGCAGTGAATGCCCAAAGGGAGAAAGCCTTCCCTGAGGTAGTTTTCTGTGAAACAGCTTTTAGTGTTACAGAACTTTTAGCATCACAGCCAATGATACAGCAGCTCTTTATTGGGGGGGAGGGGAGTAAGGGCTATATAAACCTTACGGAAGTGAGGGTTTTTGGGTGAGTGAACGTCACTGGCTGGAGCTGAGGTGCTGGGAATGCTTCATTTGCAGAGAGGAATTACAGGTGCTAGGCCATGTGATTACCTCAAGAACGGCCAGGGCCACAGGGCACCTCTGAGGCAGGCAAGTTCCGAACAGGGAGGAAGCAACCCTTACTCTTGCAGGTCTCAGGATTGAGATTTCTGGGCACGTCTTGACCTTGCGCTGGCTCCATGCCAGTTTACCCGGTGGCACAGTCCACATGCCACACAGTTGGCCACGGTTTAGAAGCCGTGCAGATGACAACGTGTGATGTGTGTACGGGTGCACAGAGGTGTGTGTGTGTGCGTGTGTGTGTGTGTGTGTGTGTGTGTGTGTGTGTGTGTAAAGGAGGGAGGGAGTTCTGTTCCCAAGATTTGTAACAGACAAATCTTGCAGACCCTCTACTAAGTGAAATAAGCGAGCCACAAAAGACAAACTCTACCTGGCACCATTTATACGAGCTTCCCTAAAGTCACCGGACCACAGAATCAGAAAGGGGATGGCGGGAGGGTATGGAAATTGGGTAAAAAGTTCCAGCTTACGAGACAAGTTTCTGGAGACCGGCTGCAGAGCGAGGTGAGTTGACCTCACATTGCTGAAGCACAGACTTTAAAGGTGAAGGGGGTGTGTGTGTGCATGACATAAAAGCAGAAATACAACTGTCTCAGGAGACAAGGGAGACTAATGGGAAAGGGGAGGGGTGAGCACAGAAGGGGAGGAAACACTGAAATGTGTTCAACACATCATATACACATGTACGGAATCATAAAAAAAAAAAAAAAAGGTCTGGAGAGATGTCTCTCCGCCTCTTCAGAGCCGGTTAAGAGCTCTCTTCCAGAGGACCTGGGTTTGATTCCCAGCACCGGAACGGTGGCTCACAAGCATCTATAACTCCTTTTCCAGGGGATCGAATGCCCTCTTCTCTGGGCACCAGGCACGCTAGTGACACACACACCTACGTGCAGGCAGAACACCCACATACATAAAATGTTTAAAAATGAAAGTAAAAGCGGAAGATTTAATAGTTTTTAAGCCATTGCCCCTCCCCCAGCACCCGTGCAAATAGGTGGCTGCAAAGGGCCTGGCCTACCCGAGTCTCAAGGGGATGTGTTTGGTGCGGAGGAGAAAACGGGGCCCCTAGCATGAGCTAGTAGTTGCAAATACTGAGGGGAAGAATTTGATGATTTTTTTACTGAAGGGCTATGTATGTAACTTGCCCTGGATCAAACAGATGTACATCCTTAGTGCTCTGAGAGGTTAGGCCCTGGGTTTCCTCGGATCCTATCTGGTAGTGTGAACCTACTTAGGTGTGCGGATGGATTACAAGTTGCCCTTGCAAAATCTACCTGCTCCTGGCATGGAGGGCATTCTAAGAGGTTGCTTTCCGTCTGGGATGCCGGCCTTCAGCCCAAGGTCACATCTGGGGTCAAAAAGAAACTGTTCGCGACAGCTTCCTCCAAGCAGAACAGCAAACCTTCATTTGGCTAGGACAGGCTAACAATAACACTCTCAATTGCTTTGTCTTTTTAAATCATTTATTCAGAGGCAAATTTTACCCTCCTGAGGCGAGCAAACAGACCCCATCAGAATTGTTACAGTGTGCACCTACAGCCTGCCGATTAAGGCTTTGCGCTAAACTCTGCTGTGTGTTGATATTGGTGGTCAGCCTTAATAGCTCTGGGACCAACTAAGAGACGTGTCTGCCTGCCAGGGTATTTCCTGGAAAGCTTAATTGAGGGAGGACAACCTTCCCCACAGTGTCAGCAGCTACAAGGAGGTCTGAGGGAAACAGGGCTTCTGTCTCCCACCTTCCCGCTGGCTGGCAAGTTCATCCACGCTCTTTTTGCCACTATTGCTGCCATCTTCACTGACTTGGGGAGATGGCTTCTCCAGTCTGCAACACGGACTGAAGGCCACATGCTCTCAGGAATCCCCATGGCCTTCAGCAGCAGACTGAGGGATTAAGCCTCCTGGACTAAGCAGATACTGGCTTCTCACATTCTCCAAAATTCAGACAGCCACTGTTGGATTTCCCAGCCAGTAAGCCAACCTAATAAATCTCCTTTATTAATATGTAACCTATTCCTCTAAAAAACCCTGACTAAGCATACCCTAAAATAAAGGTATTATTCTCATTTTGTATTATGTTCTCAAGAAGTTTACATAATTGTCTAAAGCCCCCACAGCTAGCAGGAGAGAGCTAGGAGTCAAACAGGAATGCCGTACAGAGAAGCATGCACTTTCTAATCTGTTATATTGTCTCCCTTAGATACAGTCTAATGGGGGGGGGGGGAATCATCTCAAAGAAAAAGAAAGGCAATTACTTTTTCTTCTGTTTTACTTAATTCAAGATGTAGGTGGCCAGGGCTGGAAAGATGGCTCAGTGGTTAATAGCACTTACTACTCTTCCAGAGGACCCAAGTTTGGCTCCCAGCACCCTTGTCCAAGAGCTCAAAAACACCTGTGACTCCAGTTCTAGGGGCTCTTACACCTTCTTCTGAGTTCAAGGGAATCTACACACATATGTTTACACGGATACAGACAGACACACATACACAAACACACACACACACAAAGAAAGAAAATTTTTAAAAACATTTTAAAAGCAGGGGCTGGAGAGATGGCTCAGTGGTTAAGAGCACTGGTTGCTCTTGTAGAGGACCTGAGTTCAATTCCCAGCACCTGGCCACACAGAGGCTCACAACCATCTCTTAACTCCAGTCTCAAGCGATCTGCCGCCCTCTGCTGGCCTCCACAGGCATGTGCAGGTCAGACATCCACACAAACAAAAAGAACAACTAGGAGAGATGACCTAAGGCAGTTTTTCCTCCTTACGGGGGCTCAAACCCACAGCCTTGAGCCTGGGAGTCAAGTGCTTCCACTGGGCTACGTCACAAGCCCGCCAAGGAGTCTTCTTTTTCCTGCTTATTCCTTCTCTTAACATGACAAACAAGGAAAGACTAGTACGAGGCAAGCGACTTGTTTTTAGATAGAGTGAGGGTTGGAACAGATGTTGGTCCCTCGGCCTCTCCCGAAGACAGACGGTTCTTGCAGACCACGCCTCCGTCCCCACTGCGCAGCCCCCTTCACTGACAAGACATTCATTCTCAAGTGTCCAATCGGGGTTTTCAAGGGTCTGTTTCTAAGCAACTTAAAGGCGAATAGAAAGAGAAGTCTTAAAAATGCATATATTTCCATCTCACACCTCTCATAAAAGAAAATATATATCCATTTTTCCATAATACCTAGAAAAAGAAATACTTAGGCTATTCGCTAAAATCAGTACTTTCACAACGCTCAGCACGTGTGAACACTGAGAAACGCTGGCGCTTTTACTGCTTCCCAAGAATGAGGGAGACCTGACATCGGGGTTCTGTCATCAGCCTGTGTCTGTTAGAAAGAAGGGGCGTACAGGGGCTCCAGGAACGTGTGACGGCGCTGGATCCGCTCCAGGAGCTGCTGGGCCACAGGCTTGAACTCCGTCTCCCAGTGGAGCCTGTGGTAACTTCTCAGGTCCTGGTCAAAACTGCCATTCAGGGCCAGTTCTTCATCTGGGGGGGGGGGGGGGGGGGGGGAGAAAGACCCAAATCAGAGTAATTACTTGGAGTGTGATTGTACCGGGTCCAGTTCGTCTCCCCTGGGGGGACTCCTCACTCTGGGTAAAGATGATGACTTGGGATGTGACTTAGGATTAAAAGCTAGCTGTTTGTTTGTTTGTTTGTTTGCTGGCTTGGTGTGTTTGTTTTTGAGGTAAGGTCTTCTAAATTGCCTCGGTTTATGCTAATCTGTAACTCCTGGACTTCTGTGATTCTCCTGCCTCAGATTTCCCAGGAGAGGAGACCACAGGCTCATAGCACTACACCCTGAGAAAGAAATCTATTTTAATGAGAGTTCTTTTGAACTTTACAAATATTTAAGAGCTTGTGTGTGTGTGTGTGTGTGTGTTTCTTTTTTAGTTTTTGTTGTTGTTGTTCTTTTTCCTTTCTTTTTATTTTTGAGACAGGGTTGCTCTGTCTTTTTTGAGACCTGGTTGTCCTGAAACTCACTTTGTAGACCTGGCTGGCCTCCCTCACTTGGTAGACCAGGCTGGCCTCTGCTACACTTACTGCCAAATAGTGTGACTGTCCATATCTGTCACAGGGAAGCAGTGCAAACCGTGCCCTTTGTGCAGGTGTGCCATTCCTGACTCAATGACATACCCCCCTTTATACACCTCACCTCAGGATATAGATAAGGGCTCGCTCGCTCCCTTGGTAAAAATAGCTAGAGGTTAGTTTGAAAACAGCCAGTCTGGAGGACACGGGTGTGCAGCGTTTTGGGCTCTCCTCCCAACTTCTGGGAGTATGTGAGCCGTAAAGCACCTTCTCTGCTGTCCTAGCCGTCCCAGTGGGCAGCGGGTGTCTGCAAAGCAGAAAAAAGACGCCAGCCACAGAGATCCGCCTGCCTCTGCCTCCTGAGTGCTGGGACCAAAGGCGAGCGCCACCGCTGCCGGGCTCGGTTCTTTATTTTTATTTTATCATTACCATTATTAACGTTTCTGGGTGTTTTCCCTGTTGTCAGCCTGTGCACCAAGTATTCGTCTGGTGTCTGTGGATGTCAGAAGAGGGGACCAGCTCCCCTGGAATGGAAGTTAGAGATGGTTGTTAGCCTCTGTGTGAGTGCTGAGGATTAGGACAAGTGGCCTGGAATTCCAGAACCTCTGGCTGCAGCCTCTGGACTGCAGCCTCTGGAGTGCTAAGTGTTGGGACTGCTAACGTGCACCAGCATGACCCCACAAAGCAAATATATCCTAGTGTCTTGATTTTAAAAGGGAAATCTTTTCATTTTATTTTTTAAAAAACCATCTGGGCACGGTGGCACATATCTTTAATCCCAGCACTCGGGGGAGGTGAAGGCAGACAGATCTCTGTGAGTTCAAGGCTAGCCTGGTCTACAAAGTGAGTCCAGGACAGCCAAGGCTACACAGAGAAACCCTGTCTCAAAAAGTCAAAAAGAAAAGGAAAAAAAAAAAAGGAAAGAAAAAACCCTCTTAGATTGAAATGAGCTTTTCTTTCGATAATTTCCTAAGTTTCACTTATCTATTAGTTTACATCCAAACATCAATCATTTCTCATCAATTCTGTCTCAAAATAAATGAGGAATAAATGGCTTCCTCATATGTGCTTTAGAAAGGTTCAACGATGTCAGAGAAAGAGGGAAGGACTTAGGGAATCTTTTGGAGAAATGGGCCAATTCGGCACAGAAGCCACCCCACCAACCTCACACTTCTCATAAAAAATTAGGGACACTGAGAATCCTAAAGACTCTCTGAGTCCCCAAAGAGACCATGAAAAAATGCAAAAAAAAAAAAAAAAAAAAAAAAAAAGGCACTTGTAAAAATAAAATGCAAAATAAAACTTTAATTTGCCTCTTAACGCAAGAACACACTGAATTCTGGGAACACTCTCAAGTATCTTCAGCCCAAGTGGAAACCCAGCCCTAGTCCTTGCTAGCCAGCACCTCCTGGCCTGTTCTATTGGGCCTTACCTCACACCCTAGATGATGTACTGCAGGAAAGTGCACAGGCTCTGCCATTCCTAGTTCTGGGGCCTGAGCTAAACAGCTTACACAGTGACCACTAAGTCCCAAGATGGCCACACTCCTGCTCCTTACACGATGTGCAAATATGTTATATGGCCAGTTAGAGCCCGTTGGAGAGTGCTTGAGGCTCTGTTTACCATTTCTGCAGCAGACATCTGTGTCTGTTCAGTGGCTACTTGGCACCGAGGAGGCTAGTGTCACCAGCATCAGATAAGGGAGTGTGGGATCTCTGTTTGGACTGTCTGCTCCCCTCCTCGGGATCAAGGACAGAGCTATGCAGCTTGGAGATAAGTTCCATGAAGACACAAGCACTCCAGCCAGGCTTCCATGGAGACCGTGTAAGCAAACCTAACCCTCTCCGCCGGTGAGATAACCCAGGCTTCGAGTGGGGAGGGTACTGCCAGTGTTCCATGCCTTCAAGGGCATTCCTGTTTGGCTTCTTCCGGACAAGAAGAGCCTGCTAGACTGAGTGACTCCAGATTTGGAGTCCTGTTCTGTCTTTTCTAGATCTTTCTGAGCACTAAACATTGGTTGGCAAAGTCAGTTTTAAGCTCTTATTTCCCAAGGTGCTTAATTCTGAGAAGGGGCCCTTTATAATTTCCTCCTCTGTTAGGGCTGGAGCTGGATTTGGTGGTTTGGCATACTGTGTTTTTTATTTTAATCTAACGTTAACCCTCTCGTGCCCTCGAGGCCCAGCCTTTACAGAAATTAGTTCAGCTGTAGTCAGACCATATTAGTTCTAAGTCAGGATACACTGGACAAAAAATAGTTAAACAGCCGCTGACAAGAAAAATGCAGAAATAAAAAGTGTGTCGGAAAGTGACATGTCACATTAGGTATTAAGTTTCGAACTTGCACTGCAAGGAGTGGCATTGGCCGAGCCAATTAAAATTCAGATCTATCAAACTTGCTGTGACCCTCAGTAAGAAGTATTTGTTTGTTCTGTGACTCCACATACTTATTGATCTAAGCAGCAAATACATGCTACCTCTTTTTTTTTTTTTTTTTTTTTTTTTTTTTTTTTTTTTACATGTAATGATATATGCCATGTCTTCCTTGCTACTTCGGTTTCTTAAAGATGTTGGTTATAATCTACTCAGTTGGCCCTGTAACCCACGGTGTGAGCTGCTAACCAGCCCTCCGCACGCGTCTCTGCTCCCTGCAGATAGGAAGGCTTAGGGTGAAGAGCCGAAAAGGATTACCAGGCCCCAAACAACCACTGCTGCAGTGTCCCCGTGCTCAGCAGAACTTGCCCGGACGTCCCCTCAGGCATTCCCCTTTAGGGGACAGTCTCAAGTGTGTCCCAGGAGCCCCTGGTAGCACTTTGGTGTTGTCCTCAAGGCTTCTCCAACTGAAATGCCAGGTCCCACTCTCCCCTTGTCACAAAACCTGATGGCAGGATCCAGGTGCCTCCGGATGAGCAAAAAGCACTGGAGTAGGGCCAGCAAGATGGCTCAGCAGGCTAAGGTGCCTGTGGCCCAGCCTGGCGACCTGGGTTTGATCCCCCAGAATCCACGTGATGGAAGGAGAGAACTGCACCCCCACCACCAAGTTGTCTGCTGGTCTCCATACACGTACCGTGCGTGGCATGGTCAAGGGTACACAAGCACACACATACCCACGCACCACCACCACTGCCAAAACCAACCCAACCTAGTGGCGTCCTTCAAATTCACAGTAAACAGCACACACCTGTTTGTCTCTAGCTGGCAGCTTCCTGAAAGGGGCTCATGGTGGGTCCCAAGACGAGCATTTGGCTGGTGAGTTTGTAAGCAACGGCTTTGGAGGCTGCAGAGGCGGCCGGGTGGCTAAGAGGGCGTACCGCTCTTGCAGAGGGTCTGAGTTCAGTTCCCAGCACCCACATCAGGCAGCTCACAACCACCCCTAGCTCCAGCTCCAGGGGACCCAACATCCTCTTCCGGCTTCCATGTACACTTGCACACACGGCATATATGTGTACATATATGAATACATATATGTACATGTATGTGTGTGTGTGTGTGTGTGTGTGTGTGTGTGTGTGTGTGTGTGTCTATCTTTGGGGGAGAGCGGTGGTGCCGGGAAGTTTTAGCCTGTGGTTATGTTGAAGATTGTCATCCTCTGAGTCTTGCTTTAGCTAGGCAGCTCTTCACACTCCACTCTTACTATATATCTTCTCGACACTTACCCTTCTTAGCAGGCTTTTGTGTTGTGCAGGGATAAAGACAGAACAGTAACGGAGGGAATGTCTGTGCCTGGCCCAACCTGAGACCCACCCATGTGAGAGAGCCAAACCCCTGACACTATTAACGATAGTCTGCTATGTTTGCAGATGGGAGCCTGCACATCTGTCCTCTGAGAGGC